ATTCTTCAGACAAAAACAACGTGTCAGCATTGCAAGAGCTTTATACTATAATGCAGAAATTGTGTTATTAGATGATCCATTGTCTGCAGTTGACGCACATGTTGGAAAATATTTATTTACAAATTGTTTTCAACGTGCACTTGCCAAAAAAACACGTCTACTTGCCACACATCATTTACATTATCTACCACAAGTTGATTACATAATATGTATGGAAGATGGTGAAATCGCCGAACAAGGAACTTATGAAGAATTAATGAAAAATGAGAAAAATTGTTCGAAGCTTATTGCTGAATATGGTAAATCTGAAAATGATAGTGAAATAAAAGAAGATAGAGAGCAAACTTTAGACGACGATAAAGAAAATAAAAAAGATCAGACAGATATTTTGTATAATGAATTAATGTCAACAGAAGAACTGTATAGAGGAGCAGTGAATTATGAAATATATTTAGCATATATTAGGAATGTTGGTGGATTGTTATTGGTGCTAGTCATTATTTTTTTATTTGCTATGATGATAGGAACAGATATTGGGTATGTTTCATCTTAATAACATTTGAATTACATACATAATCTTATACATGACTGAGGAAATTGCTAAGCTTACAAATCTATCTTTTCTTTTTTATAGAAATAATTTATGGCTTTCGTTCTGGTCCAGCAATAAGTTTGACATTTCAGTAGGATATTATGTAGATATCTTTAAAAATTTATGAAGTCTTAAATTACAGTATAACCAGACACAACTAATTTATTTATATTATTTAAACACTAATTTGCATTAATAGATGGGTGTTTATTGCTCATGGGGAGTCGCTCAAGGGATTTTGGCTGTTTTAAGTAGTGTTGCATTTTCTTATGGCAGTGCCAATGCATCTAAGAGATTACATAATAAAGCAATTAAACGTGTATTAAGGACGCCAACACGTTTTTTTGATACAACTCCTTTAGGAAGAATTATTAATCGGTGAATGTCATATCAACTTATCATTTAATATTTTATTTTTTAGATATAATATTTTCTAATCCAAATTCATTTAATATCCAGATTCAGCAATGATATCGACACGTGCGACAGTTTACTTTCTGAATCATTTCGAATGTTTCTCACATATTTATCGAACATTATTGGAATTCTTATTCTGACTGCAGTGGTGTTTGCGTGGTTTATTATCCCTATGGTTTTTTTGATCATACTTTATTATTTAACGGCTCTTTATTATCGGGCGTCTAGTCGCGAATTAAAGCGTAATTATTATCATCATCACTTAACAATAAATTACTATATATATATATACCTTTTTAAAAAAATTTTTTTTTTATTATAGGCGTTCATTCAGTATTAAGATCTTCGCTATATGCTCATTTTTCTGAGACACTTACAGGACTGCCAATTATTCGCGCTTGTCATGAGCAAGAAAGATTTTTGAGGTTTTTAAAATTTAAATTTTATTATCTTTAATTTTTCTTAATTATCTTTTCACCTGAAAATATGCTTAAAAATAAAATAGAAATAACGAAGCGTTTTTAGATATCGAAAATAGATCATACTTTCTCATTATATATGCCCAACGATGGCTTGGGTTGCGTCTTGAAGCTATCGCAAATATCGTAGTGTTTTTTGCAAGTTTATTTGCAGTAATTTTTAGATTTAATGTTTCACCTTCAATTACTGGATTAGTATTATCTTATGCACTTCGACTTACATTATTTTTTCATTTGTGTGTCAAATTTTTTACTGAAGTGGTGAGTAAATAATATTTTAATAATATAAATATATTTTAAATTAATAATTTATTATTGCATAATAATAGGAAGCAAATATGAATTCAGTGGAACGTTTAGTTTATTACAATGATAAATTGGAAATAGAAGCCGAGAGTATAATACCGGATAACAGACCACCACCTGGATGGCCATCTCGTGGAGAGATTCATATTAAAAATTTG